TGAACTTGCTCTTCTGAAGCTGAACTTCCAGTGTTGAAAGACAGGCACAGGCCAGTGAACATATGAGCATAAGAAAATTGGACAATATTTGTGAGAATAAATAAAATAGTTTTGGGAGAAAAAAATAGGATGGAAAGAATATGTGTGTGTGTGTTTGTGTGGGTGTGATTATTCTGAGTTGGAGATGGGGGACATCTTCCTGATGCTGTGACATCTGAGACTTGAATGACTATGAGGGGCTAGTCATGTCAAGATCAGGGGAAGAACATTCCAGGGCAAGCAACAGAACAGCTGATGCAGTGGGTCCAAGGCAGGAGCCTGTGTGGTGAGCTGGAGGCTCAGCAAGGAAGTCATCGGGAAAGGAGATTTTAGAACTAGCAAATAAATTATTCAAGTGAACTTACTGTACAATTATTACAGTTTAAATGTATATGGCTATGATCATTTAGATCTCAGATCTCTGCCATGATTTCAGGATCAGATTCAGTAATTACCAAATATTCACAGAGGAGAAAGTGATTGTGTCAGAATACACATGATATATCCTACTTTGAAGCCTCAGATTTCCCATGGATAGGATAGGACACTGGCAATGTTTCAGGAAAATGGCACCTGGTACTATATTCTTAAAATGTATTTGTGTTGGAAGTAGTCATACAGCAGTGAGCATTCATGCAGTAAGAAACAATTCCTTCATCCTTTAATATAATTGTTGCCCTCAAGGATTATAAGAGAGATGGAGCATCCATTTTAAAACTTAACTGGACAAGGAAAAAAGCTTTGTCCACAGAGTTTCAGATTTTCTTGGATTTTCTGGTATCTACACAACAGAGACCTGCTGAATTGCCAGCATATAACAAGCCAGAACCCTGGATCCAGAGAGCATTTGTGATGTCTAGCCAGTGCAGAACTGCTTTCCCTCCCAAAGGGTGGTCTGCAAATCTGTTGTTGGCAAGATGTTTATATCACAATTGAAAACAGATGCCCTTTCTGCCCTTTCCTTTGGTGTCCGAGTTACTGCTGTTCAGGGGGTATGAGCCACGGCAGTCTCTCACGCACCTTCAGAATGCCCAGCGAGAGTCCTCATTAGACATTCCTGTCCTGAAGCCTTGCTGTAAAACACTCGACAGAACAGAGTAGACACAGGGAGGTTCTAGTAATCTGCTCAGTACCTTCTGAATGTTGCTTATCACAAATCAGAACACCAGTCCTGAGGTTTAACATATAAAAAGCCCCCCACATCTCTCTAGATAGTTTCTACTTGAGAATATTTAATCCTAAAGGAAAAATATTTAATCTTAAAGAACTATGTAGTCCTAGAGGAAAACCAAAGTATGCTCTTGCTAATGGACTGTTTGTTGTTGTTGTTGGTATTGAATTTTATTACAGGATATGGCCCTAAAATGTATTTTATATATATATGACATTGACATTCCAGAGTATCAAAAATCACTGTAAATTCTTGATTAAAAGAGACTTATTAGACATAAGACTGAATATAATGTGTAGACTTTGCTTGGATCCTGCTGTAAATTGACTGAAATTGAAACAACTGGGAAAATTCAAATATGGACTGAATATAAGATGATGTTAAGGAATCATTGGTAATTTTGTTAGATGTGATAATGATACAGAGGTTATATAAGAAAATATCCTTATTTTATAGAGTTGCACACTGAAATATATAGGAAGGAAATGTCACATGTATAATTTATTTTAAAACAATAGCAAAATATTGAAGCAAATAGTGCAAAAATTATTATTTGGTCTAGGTGATGGGCGTATGGAACATGCTATTGTATTTCCTTTGTTGTCCTGTATATAATTTGAAGTTTAAAAAATTCTTTGCAAATTGTGACATAGCAGAGCAATTTGTTAGCTAAATAGCACTATTTTACAATGTTAGTGGATGTTGCTTTATTGTGACTTTTGTGCTGCAGCCATAAATATCAGTGGACCTGGAAACTAGATGATTTTTTGGAAATGAGACATTACAGTAAAAATGAACCAGTATTCTCTTCTTATGTATGCCCTCCACCCTACCCCCATGCTCTTATTTTGCAACTTGGCCCATGATTAGGGAGGTGAAATAGTTCACAAATAAAACTGAAACATGGAATCCTGAAGCTAGAATTTTAAACATTTTATTTCAATGTCAACTTTTAAAAATATTTTAAAACTATAGTTACCAAAGTCATTTTCCTCCCTTTCAAAATGTGTATTCTATAATCTGGATTATATTCAGTTCAGTTCAGTTCAGTCGCTCAGTTGTGTCTGCCTCTTTGTAACCCCATGGACCACAACACACCAGGCCTCACTGTCCATTACCAACTCCTGGAGTTTATTCAAACTCATGTCTATCGAGTCGGTGGTGCCATCGAACCATCTCATCCTCTGTTGTCCCCTTCTCCTCCTGCCCTCAATCTTTCCCAGCATCAAGGTCTTTTCAAATGAGTCAGCTCTTCGCATGAGGTGGCCAAAGTATTGGAGCTTCAGCTTCAACATCAGTCCTTTCAATGAACACCCAGGACTGATCTCCTTTAGGATGGACTGGTTGGACCTCCTTGCAGTCCCAGGGACTCTCAAGAGTCTTCTCCAACACCACAGTTCAAAAGCATCAGTTCTTTGGCGCTCAGCTTTCTTTATATACATGGATTATATTAACATGTATAAAATTATTGGTACTGTCTAAGGTAGATACATGCCTATCAATGGCCCATCTCTTCCTTTCTCTATTCAGGGATTTTGAAGGAGTTCTTGTTAAATCTGCTAGTGCTTTTTCTTCAGACAGCTTTGTCGCAGATGCTGTGTGCCAGTATTGGGTATTGTTAAGACTTTCTTACCTTAATATATTTTGATACCTAGACCCTAAAATAATATATTTTAATATATAACAATTCCCAGTAATATTTAATATTCCTGTTTCCATTGAACCTATTGATGGAAATAACAAATTCACACTGCAGTGTGCACTGAGTCACATGACCTGGCTACTGATGGAGCAAAGCATGTTGTTGTATTTTTATCCCCACCTACATTTAACTTGTAAGTTCATTTTTTGTCTTATTTTTCACCCTATGTAGTGTCAGTAGTTGTAGATTCAATACCAAGGGGAATCTGGCTGTTCCCTTTCCTCAAACTTCTACATTTTTAGTAATCTGTGAGTACTGGCACTGCACTTTTTTTTTTAATAATAACAATGTCTAAATGGAGATATCTTGATTTTGAACTGGAATTAAATCATCCTTCTGAATGTTCAACAGTGAACACCCATTGTGCACTTGTCACGTAAGGCACTGGTGAAGGTTCGGTGGAGTACAAGGTTGCAGACTATCAAATGCATGGAACCAGAAGACCTGGTTTCTGTCTTCAGGAGTTGGCAAACTTTGGGGAGACAATTACTATGGAAAGTATATGATAAGTATATGAGTTATGAGGGTGGTACTGTGGAGGGAAAAAATGTAACCTAAAGCTTTAATATAATTTGTTGGTTCTTAAGTATGTTGTCATGCATTTGGTACTTTTTAATATAAAATTATAAAAGCACTATGGAAAAAGCAGTAATATTCTAGGGGAGAGGAACCTGGAGGCAGACCCTGGAAGATAGAATCATGTAGAAAAGGCTACCTTAAAAGTATGTTCAGTGTCCTTCAGTTGAGGGGACAGGGCCAGCTTCAGGTGGCTCTGCAAGGAGGGAGCCAGGGAGAGATCCTACAACTTTACTCTCTTCCGTCCCACCTCTCATTGATCTTCTCCCTTTTTCTAATCTAAAGGCAAGGGAGCCCACTGGTGTAGTCCATCCAAGTCAGCCTCCTAGGGCAGACAGCAGAGTAGATAAGGGCAGAGAGTAGAACAATTATCATCCTCTTCTCAAAATATAACAGTATGAGGGGAATGTTTGGAGGGAGTTCTTCATAGAATCATAAAATGTTAGAGCTGAAATGATCCTGAGAAATAATTTTCAACTTCATTTTGAAGATGGGGAAATAAAGCTCTATAGAAATAGCAACTTGAGTACAGTGAGTTGTCACATGGCTGAGAAGATAGGACAGACCTTTGGATTCTTAGCCCAGGCTCTTTCCAGCAGGACTGGCAGATTAGCCTCCATGTATTTTTCAAGTTTTTCCCAGAGGCACCACACTCACTCAGCCACTGTTCAGCATGGGTGAAGATGGTAAGAAGGTTTTGATTGTTATTCAAGGGAACATATGAGTTCTATAAACACAGTCATCACAATAGGACATGTTTCTATAACTGAAGTAAGAGTCATTCCAGATTATCTGGAAGGCACAGAAATACGTCAAGAAGAAAATAAAGCCATCCACAATGTACCACAGAGATGATGACTGTTAACATTTTGGTGCTTTCTTATAATTTTTTAAAATTAAAATGTATAGTTTTATATTTTATCTTTTCACTTAATAATGAACAATTTCCCATAGAGTAACAGATGCTTTAGTAGCAATAGTGTAGCATAATATTTTTAATAGATGTAGCATAATTTTAAAAAAGCATAATTCTGTTGTTAGCAATGTGGATTCATTCTTAGTTTCTGCTGTGATAACTAATGCTACAAAATATACACATATATACATGTGTTTTTTTACACACACACATATAGAAGTAATTGTGCTTATCTCTAAGAAACATTTTTATTAAAAGTTCTAGCATAAGCATTTTCAGGGCTTCTTTCTGGTGGATGAGAGTGGAAAGAATGTATAAGACATCATGACTTGTTCTGCTTTGCCACTTTCTAGATGTGTGACCTTAAAGTAAAATTAACTTGAAAAGAGAGTAATTTAGACTATAAGGCAATCTTTCAGAAAAACATATTTAAAATCTAAGGTAATAATAATAAAGACAGAAATGGAAGTTCTCAATAACTGTATTTTTCTTTGCACTGAATTATCCAGTAACTCTTTTTTTCTTTTGAAAAGAAATTTTTTTTTTCTGGCCAGTAACTGTTTCTAACTCTGTCCACCATAATCTTCCTTCCTAAGTGCTTACCTTCAAACTCTACCAGCGGGCAAAGCACGTGTACAGTGAGGCTGCGAGAGTGCTCCAGTTTAAGAAGATATGTGAAGAAGCACCTGACAACATGGTCCAGCTGCTGGGGGAGTTAATGAACCAGAGCCACATGAGCTGCCGGGACATGTATGAGTGTAGCTGCCCTGAGCTGGACCAGCTGGTGGACATCTGTCGGTGAGGCTGAAAGAGCAGTGTAGCGGGATGCTACCAGGGAAACTGTTTAATGGGGAAAAAAAGCGGGATACCACCAGGGAAACTGTTTAGTGGAAGAAAACAGCATTTTTGTAATCTTCTCAGTGAAGGAAGATCCTTCCCACTTTGTATCAGAGAGTTTGTCTGTGACATACAGCTAGACTTGTTCCCTCCTGAAAATCTGTAAGATAAAAGATTGGAGACTCAACTCCATGGCTTTATGAGGTTCCAGGTTTGGAGTCAGTCCTTCACAACATCATAAAAAAAGACTTTTCCATTTTTGAATGATGTTTCAGGAGATTTTCTCAGACACAGACCCTGTTGTTACTTTCTCATGGTATTTTAAGCAATTGTTTCCACTACACTGCAGCTCTACCAGCATCTCCTGTTTGGTGTCCTAAGTTTAACAGTTTTATTCAAAAGAGGAGAGAGAAAGGAAAGAGGACCTCAAGCCTAACAGAAGTGTATCAGGGGAGAGGATGCTGTAGGAATTACTCAGAGGCAGCATTTCCTGTTTTCCAGGTTTAGGTTAGACAATATGGTGAAAAGGATTGAAGAAAGCCCAGTTTATGAATGGACAGTTGAAACACAAATGTAAAGAGGGAAACTCTTTCATAAAGCTTGAGAACAGCGTCCTTATAATTGCTGGAGAATGGGGATAATAGAGTAGAATGGTTCCTCTACCCAGAAGGGAACTCACTGACCTTGGAGGACAGAAAGGGAAATTGGGAGAACTCTCAAATGGATTGATATTCTTTCCATTGTGAGAAAATCATCATAGAGAACTGCCTGTAATTAGCAATGAAAATACAGTTAACCACTTGGCGCCTGCGGCTTGCCTCACTCATTGCCACACTCCCAGCCTGAAAAGTTTAAACCAAGTAGCTCCAGTGATCGCAAATGGCATGTGTAACCCAACTTGTTGAGAGATTTGAACACAACCTTGCTGAAAATCACTCTGTCAGTGTTTCCTCACTATCTGCCAAAAAGGCTTTCAGAGCTTGTTTCGTTGTAAGTACTCTTTTTCTGAAACTATCAAGGGCAGATATTGTTCAGTTCTGGAAATAACAGGAAGTGGAATGATTTCTGCATAAATTAGGCAAAAGCATCTTTGCTAAGAAGGTAGTAGGATAGTTTGAATCCCATCTGAAAAGCAGTGGAGGGGTATTTGCCAGCCTCCTGGAATTCTCAAATGGACTTTCTTGTTCTGGCATGGTCAACCAGCTCTTTATGCAGCATACATTCACATGGGTAAAGAGGGAAATGACAACTAAAAATAGAGTGGGACTGCTAAGTGTTATTAAAAAAATAGAAAAGCTGGAGAGTCCTAGGGGTGGGTGGGTAGTCTTTATATTGACTGGCTGAAGAAGGCCTCTCTGAAGAGATAGATGGGCAAAGACCTGAAGGAAGTGAAGAAATGAGAACAGTGACTACCACATGTGAGGAACAGTACACATGGAGGGCGTATAGGAGGAGAGGGTAGCAGGTGATGAAGTAGGAGAGGTCATGGGAAGTCAAACCACTGAAGCTTGTTGGCCACTGGAAGGACTCTTGAGTAGAAAAAGGTGGCAATGGAAGTGTGAATTGATTTTATGTCAGATGTGCCTTGAAGGAAGAGTCAGAAGGAAGAGTCAAGAAGATTGCTATATGGGTGAAAGTGAGGAATCAAGATGACTTCTGGGTTTTTGACCAGAGAAAATTTCCTTGTTTCTGTGAAAACCATATTTTGGGGGGCCAGGCTTCACATTTCTGGGTCAGAATGATCTTCTAGTTCCATAAGATACGAAAGCAGGAAGAGGCCTTAGAGATCCAAGAGAGTTCTAAGAGGGTAAGAGATTGGAACAAGGTAACATAATGAGTCAGTGGGAAAAGCCTAGCTCCCCATCCAGTGGTTTTCTTTTTTTTTTTTGGCCACACCTGTTTCTCTCTCCTTGGGTTATACTGAAAGTGAAAGTGTTAGTCAGTCAGTCACGTCTGACTCTTTGTGACCCCATGGACTGTAGCCCGGCCTCCAGGATCCCGTGTCCATGGGATTTTCCAGACAAGAATACTGGAGTGCATTATCATTCCCTTCTCCAGGGGGTCTTCCTAACCCAGGGATTGAACCCGGGTCTCCCACATTGGAGGCAGATTCTCTACCATCTGAGCCACCAGGGAGGCTGAGATGTATTTGAATGAGGGGCTTTATTTTAACCTGTTTTCCTTTATTAAACCCTTAATGATGCAGGCTGGTTTTCTATAGGTTGCAGTATTTGAACACGGAGCAAAGCCATGCTGAGCAGGGGAGGGCACTGTGTGGAGAAGGGTGAAAACTGGGCTGGAATTTAGGAAGGATGCGTTCTAGCTCTGCCTTGTTTCATTCTGAGCTCTGTGACTTTGAACTGTCACCTTGCTTTATGATCTCCAATATGTTTTTCTGTTCTAGCAGTCTATAGATCTATATATATATATTTTGAAAATGGGCTTCTAGTGGAAGATTTAGTGGCTGTGTTTTAAAAGGGTTCGGAAGAACATGCCTTTTGCTTTTTCATTTGTTTGTTTTTGGAAACTCCTTTTCTTAATGGCAGCTAAGCTGTCTCTGTCTAGACCATTTTCATCTGCTGTACTGATTTTCAGTTGGGTCTGGTTTAAGTAGCTCACTCCCTTTTTTATGGTTGTTTTGTTTGGAGTTGTTAAGTATCGAAATTACTTCTTATTCTATATGGACTGTTTGGACTGAATTTTCCATATTGAAAGATTACCTTTTGGCATGTTGGAAATATTGGCTAAAATAGTTGTCTGGCCTCTTAGCTTCTTAAATAATTAATTTTCTCTTTGCTGTCACTGTGGGCAGCAGGTGATATTCTCCAAATATGCCAGTTGATTGCTAGTTACTAAAGGTCTTGAGTAGCAGAGCCACCTCAGAGGAGGACACTCTGGGAGAATTAAGTAGATGTAGTCATTAATGCCATGACTTCCTAAGTCAGCACATACTTTTCATAGGGCTATTTGTGTCCCACAGGAAACTGTAGTCTAAACTCCATTTTCAAAAGCTCTGGCACTTTCCTTTATGTGGATGTACGAGGGGAAAAGGGAGGAATGCAGAAGAATGCAAGTTAGTGGTAAAACAGAATGGTTAAAACAGGAGAGAAAGGCAGTAGAAGAGTAGTAAATGGTAAATGGAAAAAATTCAAATTAAAATGGCAACATTCTTAAGCCCTGGTTCCTTCTGCAGCTTTATGACTATCTTAGTGGGCAAGCAAGTGTGGGATGTGTTGGGAAGGACCTGGCAAGGTATGGGCTGGTATGGGCCACTGGGACCATAAAGTCATCGTCTGGTAGAGTTCTGTTTTGGGTAAGAACCACCACCACCTCCATAATTCCCTGTCTCATTAAAAAAAGTTAACACCAATGGGCAAGTTGTGACTAAGACTGGGCAGCCTGAGAAGGTTGGTTGCCTTGTGGTGATCAGAAGAGGGAAGCTGAAGTTGAGCAGGAGCACTGCTAAAGATTCTCTTTAGATCACCTTCCCTGGTCCACTTGTGGCACTTAAAATTCTGTTTTTCTGAAGGCCTGCTTGGAAACTATTTGCTTGAAAAGACAACTGACTGATTGAGTGAATGAAGGATTTGATATGTAGAATACTTGGCACTATCTACAAATCTTAATGTGATCTGAGCTAGGTGGCTGTAGGTAGCTCGTCTATAGGACATCTTTATGACTCAAGTGGAGAGAAGTGGGGGAAAAAGGATAGAAAAGATCACAGATGCTTGAATTTGTTTCAGCTGAGCCTTTTACTGCTTTTCAAGAGAAAATCAGTTTAAAATCCAAAGAAATGGCCAGAGAGGGAGAAGGAAATTATACTTATTCAGTTAGACAGTTTATTTTTTCTAATTAAATTAGAAAACCTCAATTATATGAAATAATGAAGAAAACAGATGAAGCTTGCCCAATTATAAAATGATTCTTTTAATTGAACTAAATGTAAATTTTAAGAAAATGGGATTTCTTGAGGAACATAAAACAATTTTGAAATAATATGAGAAATAATTTATATATATATAATATATATATAATTTATATATAATTTATAAATAATATATGAGAAATAATTTTGAAATAATATATGAGACAGCTCATTCTTTATTGGTTTCCCCGGTTATATAATACTTAAAAAATAGTTAATGCCTTTACTTCCATTTTGACACTTGTTGAAATTAGGACTCACTGAGATGTTATTGCCCAAGCTACTAAGGAAGATAAATAACAAGTTTTAAAAGACCAACAAAGGTTACAGAAGTTCATTTGCGAGTTTCCTCAGAAGTCTTCCCACAACTTTCTTCCATGGCTGGCTGTGCAGCTTAGCTTCTTGCAGCCATTTTCCTAAGCAGGTGGGAGTAGGGAAGAATGAAGTGTAAATCCACCTGTGTGTTTTCCTCATGATCTTATGGGCTAATCTGAACACTGTCAAGAAAAAGGAAGAGAGCCATTCACCTGCCTTAGGGGCTCAGTTCTCTTTGAGTTTCTGTCCTCCATTTATTGTCCCCCTGCTTCTACACTCCCCTCCTCCAATATGTATGCCATTTGCAGGACAAACCAACTGGTCTTCAGTGACCTTTGTGGCTTAAATTTATAAAATGGATATGTGGTTATATTTTCTTATACTTTCTCATTTGAACACTGTTTGAAGTCTATGGTTTCTTGAATCAAAAGCAATCTGAAAGTGTTTCTAATAAAAATCATAGAAATTGTTCTAGAAGCTGTGTTTTCCCAAGATTCTACTCAGAAAATTATACTCTTAGAGCAGAAGCTAGAAGTCTTTCCAGAAAAAGAGTACATTACTGATGATATATATATATATATATATATATATATATATATATATATATATAATACACATATAATTGTCTCAAGTTGTTTTACTCAATATATTTAAATTTAGCCATTTCTTACAATTTACATTTTGTTCATTTAAGATAGTTATTTTATAATTGGGCAAGCATCATCATTTTCCTTTATTATTTTACTTTGTTTCACATAATTGAAGTTTTTAACATTAATTATTAGAAACTACCAAATGCTTGGAATTATGCTGGGCTGGAATTAGAGAGATAGATAATAACCTTTCCCTAAATTCAAGATTTTTCTGAAATAACTTAATATCTATTTATATACTGATATATGTCTTGAAATAAAATTGAATTAAAATGCAAGGCACAATTCCTTGCTTTCCCTCCGCCATTTGTGGCAAAGTTGGGACTTACTGGATCTCTCCCCACCTCCTCCCTCAAGGCCACCTTTGATGCATGCCTTACTTTAGTCAGTGCTTTATGGTCAACTCAGTTCATTTAAAAGTAGAAAATTTTATTCAGGCTATACTTAGGTGTCTGGAAAGCTGGTTATAGGAGTACACTTTTCAGTGATAAAAGGGATCAGAGGGAACATTCCTTATAATCTGTATCTGCCCTAGTCTTTGTTTTGTAGATCACGCCTTATAAGGCTGAGGCTGCTTTTGTTGTTTTGACCAAACCTTCCATGTTAGTCCCAATCAACTGACCACAGTCATCAAAGTGATATTTGGGATTTTAGGGGTTTGGTTTTCCTAGTATTTGTATTGCTTCTCTGATGTGCCATAGCTCAGGAGCTCTATTTTTAATGTCTCACTAGTTTCACAGGAAAAAAATGCAATTGTGAAAAGTTCACTTAACACCCTTAGCTCACCTACTTTTTTCTTGATTTAAAGCTGGCTCTCTCACACAGTTTCTATGGCCACATTCCAGCAGGGCACATTGCAGGCAGGATCTCGCTGCCTTTGTGAGTGTGTATAGCTGGGCAGGCTGCTGATTAGCTGTTGGGGCAACACCTGGTTTGTGATCACAGTGCCACTGACTCAGGGGCAGAGGGCTGTTTATGATAGCACTTACTGTTCTCTACTGAGGAAATTTGAGCCCTGATGATTTCAGACCATGTGGTTGATGCAGTCCAGTTCATTTTCATTTGTAGCAGGCAGGGTGGTGACAGAGCAGCTCTGGAGACTTAAAAGTGAATGGTTTACCTAGAAAGACTTCTAGTGTCTGCCCTCTGGAAACTGGCAGGAGAGTCAGGAAATTAGGCCCCCTGGCACAATTCCTATGTGTTTTGCAGCCAGTTAGAAACACTTTCAGTTTGCTTTAGATTCAGTTTTGAGACCACAGTCTTCAAAAACTGTTCAAATGAGAAAGTGTAAGAAAATATGCCTAGAAGTTCACTGAAGACCATAAAAGTCTTGGTTGACTTGAGTCCAGAAAAATGGCATAGTTTGGGTCTTAGAAAATCAAATAGGAGGGCATACTGTTCTCTAAACCATACCATGCTGGCCTTGATGCTTAGATTTTAGTGTCTTTCAGAGATACTTCAGTGACACCTCTGTTTTTCTCAGCATATTTCACAAGAAGAGAGAGTTTCATATGGCTGTGTGACCACTTTTTTTTTTAATTCCACCAAATTGCAAACTAGCCCCTTGCCAGCCTAGGGACTCAAGATAATACTAGAATCTCAGGGTAAGTGAAACTTTTCAGTTTAGCCTCCATTTACCTACTGGGCCATAAATTGAATGTTTGAGGGGTAGGAGGAGATGAATAATCTATTTGCTTGCAAGCATTTTGTTTTCTTCTCTAGACATCTACTTTCATAAGAAAAACATTTTAATGAATATAACAGATGATGAAAAGAAATCAGCTGAGAAAATCATTGAGGGGGAAATGAATTACTGATGTGCAATAATTCTCATGTCCTAGAATAGGGGTAATATTCTATTGATATTTTCCAGGAAATAAAGTAGCTCATTTAGATGGAAAAAAGGGACAGAATTATGCTAAATTAATTATGAAATTCTTAATCTGCTATGAATTTGGAGTAAATTTTATTAGGATGAATTTGGAAGCACATGTGAACTGTTCTTGTCAGGATAAATTGCATCTTTTAAAGATGAGTGATCTTTGTACTTGTGTAGGGCCTTTCACTTTAGCATAAATCTTAGGTTTGAAACTGCCTGGTTGATGGTGACTAAAATTACATCTTGCTGTATGGAGGCTTATATAGTCATTTCCATCTCAACCACACATTTTGTCAGATGAGAAATTCTGAGTCCAGTCATCAGAACCAGCTCCTGAAGGCACAGGGAAAATGGGGATGGACCTGCTGAACCACTACCCTCTTGTGGAAAGGTCTGCATAATTTCCCTTTAGAGATTAGCAGGTAAACTAACTTAGAGTTTAGTAGCATTCTTTGTTGATAAATTCATTTAGAACAAATCTGTTCTAGGTGACTGAATGCAGCTTAAATAGCCACCAGAGGAAGCTCTCGCTTGTATGTATAAGACTTGCACTTTAAATTTTGATTTGCCCTCTTATGGAGCAACCTTCTGATTCATACTGTTGATTACATGTACTACCTGTTTTCTTTTTACTCCCTCTTCTTGATCACCTGAAGACTTGTTCTATAACTCTTCAAATGCTGGCTTTATGGAATCAAGACTACAGGGGTTATTGTTAGCCCTCATGAAACAGGAGTACTACTGACTTTTACTAAAGAGCCAAAACTTGGGGCTAGTTTTAGATACAATTAAATTTCAAATCACCTTCTGACAATAGTACAAATTTTGTAATGTCCTAAAATATTTGACAACACTGAAACAAAAAAAAACCCACAAAACCCCACAAAACAAAGCATACCACATAATCTCGCCTTAGTTCTTAGAGTGTTCTGAAGCACCAGGAAAATCAACTCTCATTTTCATTTGCAAGTTCTAATTTTTTTTCTCATTGTTTTAGGAAATTTGGGGCTCAAGGATCACGACTTACTGGAGCAGGATGGGGAGGCTGCACAGTTTCAATAGTACCTGCTGACAAGCTGTCCAGCTTCCTGGCAAATGTGCACGAAGCCTATTACCAGAGGAGCAACCGAAGCTTAGCGCCGGAGAAGCAGAGTTTGTTTGCTACCAAACCTGGAGGTGGAGCTTTGGTTTTCCTTGAGGCCTAAACAATGTAAAAAATCTCCAAGAAACGATTTAGAGCATTTAGGGACTGGCAGGACTTCTTATGCCACAGTAAATTAATCCTCCTTCTGTTTTGTATTATGAAGAAATGGTTGCTATCAAGATATATTTCCAAAGAAATGGTTGAAAGCTCCCTATGCTTCATAAAGATGATTTTTCCACCTGAAATATGTTTTCTACCAATAAGGGTGAAAATTATGCTTGGATAGAGATCTCTTAAGATAATTTACTTAGATTTATTGATTTCAAGATTTTTAAAGACACATGGTTAAAAGACCATCAGTACTGTTACCTCATGAATTGTACCTGAATTAAACATACATTCTTAAATACAGTTTACTTCTGATTTCTCCTGGCTTTCTTCTTCCTCAGGGTTGTAGTCTTCTGTTGATGATGATGATGATGACAGTGATGCCAGAAATTCTCTCTCAGTTAGAGCTTCAAAACGCTATTAAAATAATACACTATTAAGGATTCACAGATTTTTCTGAATATTGTATACTTGAAACTGAGATTCTCCCAGTTATCAACTGGAGGGGGATCACTTAAATTTTTTTCAAAAACTGGATTCAGGAAGAAAATCCCAGGCTGATTTAATTTTTTTAACCATTTGATATCATATAAACAATTACTTTCAATTCTTTTGGCCTGAGCTTTCTCTATCATAGTAGAGAAACTTTAGATTAAAAAAAAAAAATTCAAGTTTTTATCTCTGTGCACATGGAAATAGAGAATCATCCAAATATTAATTCAGATAATTCAATTTATTCACAGAATTTACTTTATTCCCACTCTATCCTACCTTTTTTAAAATGCCTCTCTAGTCCAGGATGCAGGTTTACTATTCTAGGAAAATCCATCTGTGCCTTGCATCCTTCACTGTAGGTCTAGCAAGGCTTGTTTGTATATGTGAACCAATGTAGGGCAGGTGTGAGGCATGCAGGTGAGGCATGAAAAAGCTGAGAGTGGGTTCTGGGATTGGGTAGGGTTGTCGGTAGATGCCTGTTTATCAAAATGGGCAGAAAGTTTGGCCTTATGGTTATGGTTAATGAGTGGCTATCCCCCAGATAGACTACAGGAAGGCCTCCCTGAATTATATCACAATTTAGACCAAAAAGCATTTTGTTAGCATAGTCAGATAATTGAGGGACAGTAGTTATCTGGCATAAATTATCCAGAAGTTTGTCATAATTTTCTGTTATCCTCAGCTTGGCTTTGCTCAAATATTGCGCATCTTCTTGAATCTCAGTTTCAGAGAGGCTGAGACAAAATTGGTTGTAACATTTCTCAAAGAACAGCAGTCATATACAAGCACTAGGAAATCCATTATTCTATTCTAAAATAAATTTTGGTACATTTTTATTCTTAGCAGAAAGGTAAACACTTGATAAAACTTAAGTCAAATTTGCTTGCATTTTAAAAATTGATTTAAAAATTATAATCCTTTAATAATTATCCATTTTTAACAGAAGATCTGTGGTTGATTGATATATAATTCTTTGAAGATACCTGAATTATTGTAAAAATGCATTTGCTTTTGCTTTGCTATTCTATTTAAATTTTTTACATGAGAAACCTTTTTTACAAAATAGGTAAGAAAACATTTCTTGTGCACACTCTGCTTTGGAGGACATAGCCATTCTAAGTTTGAATCTACTCCCGTAGTTATCTTGATGTCTGGCTTGAAGAAAACTATTTTTCCAATGAAACCATAACCTGGTGTTATTCTAGAAATTATGAAAGATATTGAATTCATTTGTGGAAAGGGGAGGGCTCAAGAAAGTGAAGTCCCTCAGTCATGTCCAACTTTTTGGGTTTGTGTGGACTGTAGCCTGCCAGGCTCCTCTGTCCATGGGGATTCTCCAGGCAAGAATACTGGAGTGGGTTGCCATTTCCTTCTCCAGGGGATCTTCCCAACCCAGGGATCAAACCTGGGTCTTGGCAGACTCTTTACCCTCTGAGCCACCAGGGAAGCCCAAGGGAAGGGAAGCCAGGAGGGAAGGATGAATAGAATTTGAAAGCTGGGGAATAGGCAATGCAGATGACCAAAGTATATGATTATGGATAAGCACTGTATGTTCAGAAGACTTGGTGGGAGTGAAGGGTTTGCCTTGGGATGGATGTAGTGGAGAATAATATCGGTGATATTGGTTGGAATCAGATTTTGAAGAGCTCCGTGTTCAGCAGGAGTTGCAAACCAGGTGTTGCAAACCAGCAGCCCACAGGCTGTGTCTGATCTACAGATTTATATAGTTTGACCTCCAGGGTATTTAAAAACTTGAGTCCTAAACAGGAATTTTACAGAAGAATCTGGCCCACTCCAGTATTCGTGCCTGGAGAATCCTGTGGACAGAGGAGCCTTGTGGGCCGCTGTCCATGGGGTCACACAGAGTCGGACACGACTGAAGCGACTTAGCATGAATGCATGCGTTGGAGAAGGAAATGACAACCCATTCCACTGTTCTTGCCTGGAGAATCCCAGGGACAGAGAAGCCTGGTGGGCTGCCATCTATGGGGTCTCACAGAGTCAGAAAGACTGAAGTGACATAGCAGCAGCAGCAGCTGGATTGCAAATGGTAAAAGATCTGATAGCACTTTGGTCTCCATTCCTGCAGTCACAGTGACCTAGACGTGAGGAAGTAGTGGCTATGTTTAGCTGAGGCACAGACTCTCCAGTGTGCTATGCTTTCCACAGCTCATATAGTTTCCATAATACTCAAGCCATTTACTGTTCACCAGCTGAGGTCATTTGCTCTTTACCAGCTTACTTCCATAATTTTCTTATACTAAATAAATATTTCTCTGTACCTGTGTCTCTAGCAGTAGTAAAGAGAGATCATGAGATAATGGGAGGAATAATTTTTTGTCTGTGGAAGAATTGTTCTATTTGTTTAATATTTAACACCCCAACAGTGCAGGAGATGCAGGAGACTCAGGTTGGATCCCTAGGTCAGGAAGAGCCTCTAGAGGAGGGCAGGGCAATCCACTCCAGTATTCTTGCCTGGAGACTCCCATGAACAGAGGAGCCTTGGAGGGCTACAGTCCACAGGATTGCAAAGAGTCAGACACGACTGAAGCAACTTAGCATGCACGTACTCCTTTGTTACCTTCTGGTTCATAGGACTTTGGGTAGATTCTTTGATCTGTTTTTGACATGACAGCAATAGCCAATGAGGATTGCTCTAGATTGTTGCATGGAAGCCTGGCACGCTGAAAATGAGAAGCTCTCTCTTACTCCTGACCTCAGAATGTCCAGCCTTCAGATTTATTGTACACTATTCTCTACCTGTTCTTTCTTGTTGGAAGGGAAGAAGGACCTTTAGGTTTAACAGGATTGCCTGTAAGTTAAGGAGGAGGAGAAGGGAAGGGAACAAAGAAAACTCCTTCTTTTTCTTTCCTTCTTATACTTGAGTCCTATTTAAAGCCTTATCATTTCTTATGTTCCTGTTAATTGAAGGCAAGGGTCATTCATCTAACATAGGAATCCAATATATTTTTGTTGAATTATTACTGGGAAATAAAATGATTTCAAACACCAATAATTTTCTATTAGTTTGAAATTCTGACTGCATTTGGAGGTTTTCAGTTGTATAAAATGCTTCTGGTTAGAAGCAAAGATGGGGATAAGTGAGCATGAACTTGTCACAAATCATGAGACAGAGATTATACTAAATGTACATGTGGATGATTAACTAAGAATGTATTGTATCCTGCTACTGTAACCTGGATGTGAAAATGATATATTGCTTATTAAGTATTTTCCAGTCTTTGTAAGAGAAGCTAAAGAGAGAATTCTCAATTATTTTCAGAAAAAAAAAACACAAAAAACAACTTACCAGTTGATGGAGGAAATTCTCAAAATCATTCTTAACTTCATAGGGTTTCTTGGTAGCCTTTGCTTGGAGTCTAATCATGAAAACAAGACAACTGGTAACCAAATGAATTGTTTTTATACTGACACCAACTAAGAGCCAACATTTATAGGGTTTATAATATATTAGCATCTACCACTTTGCATATATTAATTCAATTACTCTGATAATAATCCTAGGAAGTAAGTTCTACTATTATTCTGTATTATAGATGAGGAAAGAGTCTTAAATAGGTTAAGTGACCTGTCCACAGTCCTTTAGCTAGCAAGTAATAGAGGATTTGTACCCAAGCAGTGAGACTAGAGCCCTCTATTGTAATCACTGTGTGACACTGCATCCCAGCAGTGAAACACCCTCTTCAGTGAGAGGGTTCGCACAGCATTCCCTTAACTGACTCCACTCACTGTGCTCCACTGGAGATTGTAGGATGAGTCACTGGGAAGGGAAGAGTGAGAGGACCTGGGCTGGGAAAGATCTTGGCGGGGGAGACAGAGATGAAAAAGGATGGAGGGTGAGAGTGCTTACTAAACTGTAAGCTCAGTGAGGCTGGGGATCCAGGAATCTATATCATGATTTCGGCCACCAACTACTCCATTCAAGAAATATTTATGAATGAGCTAAATAACTGAATTGAAGAGGCAGCAGGAACCTTTCCAGAGATTACGGATGAAGACAGGAGCAGAGGCAGGCCAAGCAAGTAAGGATAGGAACTTGGGTAAAGGGAAAGATATTAGGAAGAAAAACATAGGTGAGAGAAAGAAAAATGAAAAGGGAAGAAGGCTATTAGTTTCAGTGGCATTTTTCAAGGGAAACATTTAAAAATTATACCGTGAAATCTGTAGGAAGTAAAATTTTCTAAAAATTCCAAACACTTCGCTTAAGCATGAAGTTTGGATTAGCCCACCCCTTACAAGGCCTGCTCTAGGTTTCTTTAGCATTTAGTCGAGGGTTCCCCGAGAGCATGCAGTAAGGCTACTTCTTAGAGGTCTCTTGCATTAGTGTTCTCTGACTGACAGATAATGCTCCCTCACTCATTCTCTCCTTTATCTCTGCCAATTTTATCTCCTCAGCCTGGGTTTTCTCCTCATTTATTACCCTCGTGGGCTCTCCTT